TCAAAGTTCCAACTATTTCAAAATGACGCCAAGAAATAATTGATTAAATATCCATGTGACTTGAACTCAATCTCTAGTCTTGATCTACAGAGCTATTTCCTATATAAATGGAGTAAAATTATGGAAGAATTGCTAGAAACCTTTCTTGTTAGTGAGTATCTCACAACGGTACATAGGCTGAAAATCTCTTGATAGATTCTTCAAGAAATCTTGTAAACGGATGATAAATGAATTCAACTTATACACTATTACAAGCTACAATACTTGGTCAACTCCAAGGCAGATTCGTCAACATAACAAAACAGCTTTGTCCACTGATCATTTCTTAGGATAGATCAAAGTACAAGTTCATATGTTTGAGATGATTCCTAACACAACAATGTCAATAAGGTAAGTCCAGCTTTAGTGTATGTACCATTTCACCCTTGACAGCCATGCCTTCTATTCACCAGTTAGTCCATTAACTCCGAAAAGGTTGTGTTTGTCAGGTAGAAATCCAGGTTGGTGGAGAAATGTGCGAAGCTGTTATAACCTTTTAGCACAAGCAGGGAACAACAGCAAGTAATTGCTTTTGGTTTCATTGCAGCTTCAGATATGTTTTCAAACTGCACCGCTATTCTCTTGTTGGGTAGGACCATATCAGAAGCTGTGCAAAAATGTAGAAAACAGCATAACATTTTGCTGTTTGTCGCTTTCAAGTATCACACAAGCCAGCCAGCAACTTGTCCCTCCTTCCTGTCCGATATCGACAATCAAGACTCTCTGTAACATTTGCAGCATTTGACATTGTTTGGTGGTAGATCTCCTCCATTTCACATTTCGTGATGTCTATTCAGAAGTTTCCCATCCCTTCTCTGATCTTCTTGAGGAGAAAGAAGGGCTTGTGGATAATTTCTAATCTGGACACCTGCTTGATAACTCGAGGGAGGCTGCTGGCTGTCGGAATGGATGTGACATTGTACTCAGACAGGATGTCTACTATTGCAACGCTGGGAAACAGACCACCCTTCTCTTGAGCTTTGCTGAGAATTGGGCATTCCCTCTCCTGCAAGAGCTGTAAAAAGGAACTCACTAGACAATCCTCGCTGACTTGAACAAACACTGTCTGGATGATTTGTGCCTCTGCCACCTGAACTGGAAATGTCCCCGTTGGAAGAAACCGATGCATTATTATTCTTCCCACAGCCACATAATCTTCGTCTGTTAAGGAAGGGTGTGGTACGAAGACAACTTGCTTATTGCCTTCGCAAAACCTAGCTAAGAAGGAATCAAAGAAGGTTGAAAACACTTCTCTCAAAACGCCATCCCCAAGACCAGTTTCATCAACGAAGGACAGGGATAATTTAGTGCACAAAATCCCATCATCTTTACAGATTGCCAGTAGCTCTTTGACAACATCAGGACGATCAATTAGGAAGGAATAGACCGCAGATGTGCTTCATGTGCTTGTCTTCAAGAGACTGAATAGTGTTGCTGTCACTGTTGCTTTCACCTTGTAGAAGCTGCACAGGAGGGCTGTTGTAGACTGGTTCGACCTCAGAGCTGGTCTGATTATCTGTCGAAGGGGACAGCTGTATTATATCAACATCAGGCAAAGTGTTGTCCCTTGTGCCTTCAAATCCCCTTCCGTCTTCACTGTCAGCCCTGGAGAGCAGTATGGGTTCTTCCACCACCGTCATGTTGATAATGGTGTTCTTAACTGTGACTATCCGGTCTTCGGGATACAAAGTCGAAGATTAAAAAGTAGTGAAACAGAAATGTTCCGGTGTAGGGGATAGAGAACCAATCCAGTCATAAATTTCTGAAATTGTTCTGTTCGGATCAAATGCTCTGGTAACCACACCCAGGACGTTCTGATGCACTGAAACCCTCACATGAGGATTGTTACTGCTTGGTTTCAATGACTCTGCCAAAGTCTTTCCAGTCATTCAGCCTGCTCCTTGGCCATTCTCACCTCCACATCAAGATTTCCCTTTCTCTCTTTTTGACTTTTTCTTTTTCTTTGTCTGCTTCAACGGAGGCCTTTACCATCTTCTCTAGGTCTTCAAAATATTCTTGATGCTCCTTTGATGTTCCAATAAGCCTGTCACTTTCATCAAAAGAGAGAGTGGTTGGTGGGCATCCGGCCTTTTCCTCAAAGGTTGGTGTCATGAAGTTGTCTGCAGACTGATCTGACTCATGGTCTTGCTTTCTTTCTTGGCACTGGAAGCCCTGTGATCTGCTTGTACTTCTCAGCAGTAAATTGCCGTGGTTGGTCTTCGTCTTGCATGAATATGATAAACTCACCACTAAAATTTCCCATGGCAATGTTCATTTCTTCTACAGGACCCACTGGGCTCTTCCTGTTGGGAAAGAAAAGATTCACCACTATGTCCTGACAGTTGTCTAAGGTTGCATGACGTGGTACGTTGTACGAACAGGTGCCACCACCATTGTTCTTCTTCTGTTGGACAAACCCGCAACCAAGTATCCAGTTCTTTCATCCAAATTCGAACTTGAGCGTGGCTTGGCCGTTTTTCCTTTCAACCCACCGTCATTTTCTGGTTTAGCAGTATCACTGATGGGACGTTTCTTAGCCCTGCTACCTTAACTCTGCCCAAGGATTTCCTTAGTTTTAGCTATCTTCTGTTCTCTGTCTTCGGACGGTTTCTTGTTTTTGCGATTACAAAACGCTTGTAACTTTACATGGTCTCCCTTTGCCGTCAACCCTAGGTCTACGAGGTCCTTCTCATCCATTACAAGCACAGTAGCCTTGTCTATCTGGAATTGAATGGAAGTCAATGCAAATTTGACACAAAAGATTAAAAGATTTGTTGCTTTTATTTTGTTTTAAAACTGTGATTTCACTTTATCAGTTAAAACGCACTGACATCTATGTAGCTCAGTTCAGTGTTAACACAGTCTTTTTCATATAATGGTTAAATGAAATCAGTTTAAGATTATTTTCATTATCAATGGAAAACCAGAGTTGAGATTTTAAAAAGGATTGTACTGTGTAATTGTCTTTTCAAAAGAAACTTGTATATATAATTTAGTGTTTCACAAGCATATGCAGGATACCTTATTACATAGAAAACCCAAGAGAATAATCATAAAATGAACGGTCAGTGTAAAATGCAGACTGCAGACAGGGGGTAAAATGCAGACTGCAGACTGCAGACCAGGGGTAAAATGCAGACTGAGGGTAAAATAAAATATCAATAATAAAAAACACAATGATCAAATCTGGATCAAACAAAGACACGTACCCATTTTTTTTCCAAAATCCTGAAAACTCAAACCAAAAGACATTTCCTAGCCTTAGTCAAACATTATATTATCAACCTCGACTTCTCAAATGCCCATTTTGTTGAACCAAGTTCCCACAAGGGCCCGATCTAATCATAATGCTATTGTATCTTACCTTTGTTCACGTCTCATCCATTTTGAATTTTGTTCACGCGATTAGGTCTGGGACCGACCGACTCTTGCAGCGCAATTCCTTCATCCTGTTTTCATCGACAAAGGTTTAATAACGTTCAAACCACCGCGGGTCTTAGTTGCTTCAAGTGGGCTTGGAATTGTTCGGAACACAGGGCAAGCAAAACACTACAGCACAACAACAGGGCAGTCTGCACTTTACCCTCAGTCTGCATTTTACCCCCAGTCTGCAGTGTGCGTTTTACACTGACCATAAAATGAAAAAGGAATTACCTTGTAGAATAAAAATTGATTTTTGGTGTCTATAAGCTGCTGCATTGAAGGCATACATTGTTGCACAGGTATTATTTCTGTACCCTTTGTTGCCACACATACCTTTACAGCTTATATAGGGGAGTACCTCGCTGGACTTACATCGCATTGCATTAACAGTTAACTCAAGGTTACAATATTTACAAAGCACTGAAATTGTTAAACCAGTTAACTTTTTTTGTGAGGACAAAGGAGTTTTCATGTACACAATTGTTCAGAGTATTAAGTTGGTAGTACAAGAACTCTTCTTCTGGGAACCCAGATCCAGCTGCATGAGTAACAAACTCAGACATTTGCTAAACTTTCAGCAGAGATAAAGAATCATTGCATTCTAATTTGCTATAAAACTGCTACCGAACACTAAGTCAGGTGAGTATCACCACTTAAGGACTACAAAATAATACATTCGACATCAAGTGATCAATCACTTTCCCTTGAATGTCAACTATAAACTTCAGCTTACCTTTTCCCCTATAAACATCTCACACATCTCCTCTGTCACTCCAGCTGCTCTGAAGTTAATAACCTTGAAAATAAAGTTTGTGTATTGATAATGATCCTACAAGGTGTCTCTATTAAAAGAAAGGTCAGAAAGGTAGAAGACTTGTTCTTACCTCAGTTGAATTGTTTGCTTTCGATTCCCCTGACGCTACTGTTCATTACTCCGTCAAAGAGAGCGTTTTAAGATAAACAGGCTTCTCTCACTACAAAGAAAACAGTTTTAGAAAAAATGCTTTCCTCTTAGTTTGTGTATCAGTTAAAGGTAAATAAATATTGTATTTAGGAGACCAGCTCCAAACTTAAGCACACAGAACATTAGCAAAAACCTTCATGACAGTGCCCCCTTAAGGCGCTAAGAATCAAAGCAGCAAAGATTGGGCGGCAGTGCAATTTTGACATCTCCCACCAGGAGCAAGCTTTGTGGAAAATGATTTCCAAAAATCAAAATTTACAGGGTTACACAAATCGAATATCAGTTTCTGGTTTCCAGTGAATAGCTAACCAAACATAACATGTACAAACCTTTTGGTGCCTTGCAAATTGCTTGAGAAAGGCCCCACTTTCCTAGGTACTTTACCAGCTCCATGCAGGTTAAATTGCTTAATTGATTTATTCCTTTACTTGAAGGCTTGTGTGTGGATTGAGAACAGTACAAAGCCACTTCATTGTCCGTGTCATCCAGTGGGGAATCCTTATCCGCCATTCTAAAAGCAAAAAAGTCCAACTCCAATGCTTGCTCGCAGCCACTACCACTGTAGAATACCACAAAAAGCGGGCGAGAAATTGTCGGCTTTGCTACACATGGCATTTGATTTGACATTTCTAATCACATGGGGGAAATCTAATAGGGCTGATTGGCCGATCGTTTTGGATATCATTCCCAGTTTTTTGCTGGGCTTGATCAATCGCACCATGTCTTGGAAATGCAGTCTTTGCTGCTTTGCAGCCCTTAGGTTAATTCTGTTGCTGACACATAAATTCAAGGCATTCTGCTGATGAAGACTTTTCTGCCATGTGTGGTCTCAACAGTTGCCGAAGAATGTTCCAACGAGCCAACACATTCATTCCTCGTGTTTGTGAGAAGCATCATCGCTTTCTTCAGTCGCAACCCGGTGGACGAGCCGTTCAAAGGTGAATATTAAAAGCTTGAACTTAAAATGTACGTATGTATATTTTTCCTGAGAATTCTAAGTGTTCATGTGCAATTGAAACTATTTTTGTTGTCATTTCTTCTAAGCAGTCACTGTCAGGAATGGTAGGAATCTTGGAGTGGACAGAAGGACATGAAAACTTCCCACACCCAACCATTTATTTTTGAGCTTTAATACAGTCATTGAAATAAATTACTTTGCTGAATAAATGTATTACAATTGTTTATATACTGAAATGAATTATAATAAAATTTAATATTCTGACAACCACAATTGATCATATTTTTTTCATTTTTCTTGTTGTCAGGAAACTGGTGTGAAGAAAACAGTGATTCTGTTGATGGTGATGACTGCAGTCTGCAGTTGTCATTAATTCAATTTGAAGAGTCATTAGAAGATGACACACCTTCCTGCTCTTATGAATCTTTTCTGTTGACTGAAAATCTGGATGATGTACTTCCATCTGATCCAGATAGCAGTGGTGATGAATCCGAACAGGGCACCTACAACTTGTTACAACAAAAAATTGTAAACTAACTTTTAAAAATCAAAGAAAAAAATCGTGTGCCCCAATGAACTGTACAAAATATTGCACATGCAACATCTCACCTATTTCAAGGATCATTGGTTCATCTTCAAGAGGACTTGAGAAAGTGTTTAAATGCTAATAATATTCCACCGGATGACATTCCAATTAACATTAAATAAATATAAAACTTTGAAACACCAAATGCAATAATTACAAATTGGCATTGTTAAATATTCAGCAGGGCTCAAAATAAAGGCCGACAATGCCAGAAAAGTTTCAGTCTGATGGTAATTTTGCCTGGTCACATACATGGCCTTCTAAATGAAAACTAAAGAACAAAAATAAATAACATTTAATATATGCCAATTTTATTGATATCTTTAGTGATAACTTTAATTCTGATGACTTTTGAAAATGTGAAATGATTCTTTTATTTATTTTTGGCTTAATATTGGCTATTAGTTTAAAAACAACAGATATAGCTAGATGAGCAGCAGCTGAATTTAAAGGTCAACAATTGGAAAAAAGGACTCAAAAAGAATGAAAAAAGAAGACATCTTGATATAACTGTATTGAATGTGACTGATATAAGTGCAAGTGAGAAAGAAGGAAATCAACTTGGGACATGTTCAAATTTTACACAAGTTAATTTACTTGATGCTATCACTCAACACAATAGCGTCTTGCACTATTACTAAAAATAGATTTTGTCACATGAGATCCCATGAGACCCCCTGCACAGACTCAGACAAACATTTCAATCTGCCAAAGGCAAATGTATGTGCGAGGGCTGCAAAAGTGAAACAAAAATGAAGAAAATTTGGTGAAAT